CAAATGTATGAACTGGATTTCAATATGATATTTGGTGAATTCACTTTGTTACTAGCAAAATTCATAAAACGGCCAATACTGATTCAATCAGCACAGAGAGTAAACATGCATGTTACTAAAAAGCCAATGGGTCTTAAGGAGAAAATGTTGCACTGACTTTAGTCATTACTCACACAAATGAAGATGGTAGTCATCACTGGAGATTAATCATCTCAGCTAGAGGACATAATTACCTAAACATTGCTGAATAAACTTTACTTCAGCCTTTCAACACATAGTAGATGTCTGTTTGACTATTAGGGTGCAAAAATGAAACTGCTTTACAGCTGGACATCTTAACAAGTAGAACTGGACCAGAGTCTGCTCCACCATTTGATCATGGCTGATATGCCATTCCCCTGATTCCCCCCTGTAACCTTTGACCCCCTTACTAATCAAGACCTATCTATCTCTGTCTTGAATACATCCAAAGTCTTGGCCTTCTGCAGCAACAGTTCCACAGATTCATCACCTTCTGGCTGAAGAAATCCCTCCTCAACTCAGTTCTGGAGGGTCATCCCTTCACTCTAAGGCTGTGTACTCTAGTCCTAGTCTCTTCTGCTAGTGGAAACATCTTCTCCATGTCCACATTATCCAGGCCTCTTGGTATTACCTGAGTTTTAATCTGATCCTCCCTCGTCCTTCTAAACTCCACTGAGTACAGACCCAGGGTCATCAACCACTCCTCATACGACTAGTCTTTCAGCTTTGTGATCATTCATGTGAACCCCCTCCAATGCCAACACATCTTTCCTTAGATACAGGGCCCAAAACTGCTCACAATATTCTAAATGCAGTCTGACCAGCCTCAGCAGTACATCTCTGCCCTTGTATTCTAATCCTCTTGAAATTAATGCTAACACTGCATCTTTTTTCTTCCTAACTGCAAACTGAATCTGCCTGCCAACCATGAGAGAATCCTGAACTAGGATTCTTAAATTCCTTTGTGTTTCAGATTTCCGAAGCTTTCTCCATTTAGAAAATACTCTACATCTCCAATATTCCTAGAGGTGCATGACCTCATACTTACCCCACACTGCATTCCATTTGCTGCTTCTTTGCCCACTCTCCAAACCTGCCCGAGTCCTTCTGCAGCCTCCCTACTTCCTCTTCACCACCTGTCCCCCCACCTAGCTTTGTGTCATCTGTAAACTTAGCAATAATACCCTCAGTTCCTTTGTCCAGATTGTTCACGTATAACATGAATAATATGGACCCAACACTGACCCTTGTGGAAATCCACTAGTCACTGGCTGCCATCCTGAAAAATACCCCTTTATCCCTACTTTCTGCCAGTCAGCCAATCCTCTATCCATGCCAGTATCTTGCCTCTAAAAGACATGGACTCTTACCTTATTTGTCAGCATCCCGAGCAGCACCTTGTCAAAAGGTCTTCTGGAAATCCAATCAGATCATATCCACTGGCTCTCCTTTGTCTAACTTGCTTATTGCCTCCCCAAAGAATTGTAACATCTGTCAGGCATGATCTCCCCTTGATGACACTGTGCTGATTCAACCCTATTTTGCCATGCACTTCCAAGTACTCTGCAATCTCATTTTTAAGAACAGACTCTAAACTCCTAACAACGGCCAAGGTCAGGCTATAGTTTCCTGTCTTTTTTCTTCCTCCCTTCTTAAACAGGGGTATTATTTTAGCCATTTCCAGTTCTCAAGGACTTTCTTAACTCTAGTGATTCCTGAAAGATCACCACTAATGCCTCCACAATCTCCTTCAGAACTCTGGGGTGTAGGCCATCTGATCTAGGTGATTTATCCATCTTCAGACCTTTCAGCTTCCCCAGAACCTTCTCTACACTCAACTCTACCTTCAGACTCTCCTGAAGTTCTGCTATGCTACTGGTATCTTCATCTGTGAAAAATGATGCAAAGTACTTATTCAGTTCCTCTGCCATTTCTTTGTTCCCCATTGTTACTTCTCCAACGTCATCTTCCGATGGTCAAATGTCCACTCTTGCCTCTTTCTTATCTTTTAGATATCTAAAAAAAAACTTAGTCTCCTTTTATATTACTAGCCAGCCTATCCTCATATTTCATCCTCTCTCTCCCTTTATTGCATTTTTAGTTATCCTCTGCTGGTTTTTAAAAGGCCTCCCAATAATCTTCACCACAATGTATGCTTTTTCATTGCTTTTATGCAGTCCCTGACTTTCCTTAACAGTGACAGTTCCCTCATCCTCCCTTAGTTTGTTTCTTCTTTCTTGCAACAAATTTCTGCTGTGCCTCCTGAATTACTCTCAAAGTCCATTGCTGCTCCATTATCCTCCCTGCTAGACTTCCCTTCCAACCAACTCTGGCCAGCTGTTTCATCATGTCTTTGCAGTTACCTTTACACAATTGCAATAATGTTACGTCTGATTCTGTTACTCTCATTTTTCCTATTTTTAAGTAGCAAAATTAAAATTTAAATAAACCTTTGTTTCATTTTGGGAGCCATCAGATGCCCAATAAACAAATTTGTGGTATGCTAAACCATGTCATACCCAATTTTCACCATATCTTTATATTCCCTTTATCTCATGTACTTATCTTGTTTCTTTCTGAAAGCATCCAAGCTATCTGTCTCAACCACTTCCTGCAGAAGCAAGTTCCATAGTCAAACCACTCCGAGTGCAGAAATTTAACCACATTTCCTTATGGCTTTAGCTTTTGGATTCTATCACAAATGGCAATCCACGTCTACACTATCTAACCCACTCCTTATTTTAAAGGACGCCATTAGGTTCACAACATAGAATAAATCCCTACAGTGCGGAAGCAGGCCATTCGGTCCATCAAGTACGAAGAGCATTCCACGCAGTACCCACCCCCAAACCTTATTCCCTGAAATCCTGTATTTCCCATGACTAATCCACCTAACCTACAGATTCCTGGGCACTATGGGCAATTTATCTTGGCCAATCCACCCAACTTTCACATCTTTGGACCGTGGGATGAAACCCACACAGCCATGGAGAGAATGTACAAACTCCACACAGACAGTTGTCCGAGGGTGGAATCAAACCCAGGCCCCTGGTGCTGTGAAGTAGCAGTGCTAACCACTGTGCCACCTGACTAAGCCACCATGCTGCCCTTGCGCAGATTTTCTCTTTTCTGGAAAAAAAAAAGTCCTAACCTATGCAATGTTTCAAAATCTGTAATCTCTCAGTTTGGTGCCACAGTTGTAGATATTGTACTTTCTCCAGTATTAGAAAATTATTTTTATAGTACCGAGATCACAGTTTTGTACTGATTCCAAACTGCAGCCCACAAAGGGTCTTACAGACATTTAACATAATTCCACAACTTTTGTATTTCTCATTCCTTGAACTAAACGTCACTGTTGATTTTAAATTTAAATCTTCCTACATTGGAGGCCACGACTGTAACAGGTTGAATAGCCTCCTCTGTGCTGAAATTACTCAATAATTCTACTAACATCGAGAGATAGTAAGAACTGCCGATGTTGGAATCAGGGATAACACAGTGTGGAGCTGGAGGAACACAGCAGGCCAGGCATCGTCAGAGGAGCAGGAATGTTGACGTTTCGGGTCAGGACCCTTTCAGAAATTTCTGAAGAAGGGTCCAGACCCAAAACGTCAACTTTCCTGATTCTACTAACATGATGTTTTGCTTGTTACTCTTCCAAACTGTTCCGTCGTCATTACCCATTACACAATCTAGTTGTGATCCTCGTTTATTGGACTTTCAATCAACTGAATAAGAAAGAATCCCATGCATACTGTAACAATAAAAGACCTCTTTCTCCTTTCACTACTACTTCCTACCAGTTTATTCGGACACAACTGAAATTTCTCGCCATTATGACTAGGTCTGCTATACACACTACCAACCTTGCAATGTCATCCTTACTACTATCTGGGGGTTTCTGCCAAAATAGGGAGAACTGTCCCATAGCCAAGTCAGGCAATAGCCTGATACAGTCAACCACTCTACTATTATCACCAAGACAAGGATCAACCCTGGTTCAAAGCAGGTTATAGAAGGGCCAAGCAGCATGCAATAAGCAGAGCTAAGCAATCCTGCAACCAATGGATCAGATCTAAACTCTGCAGTGCTGCCAGATCTAGATTCTTTCTAGTTGATGTGATACCATGAGACTTCCATTGGAGTCAATGCAGGATTTCTGGTGCAACTCCCTCCTGACTGTACACTAAGCTGCCATCTCTGATGAGTATGTCCTGTTGCTGGGACTGGGTAAACCCAGAGATGGTTATGATGGCATCTAGGATATGGTAAGATTTGATTCTCTGAGAATAACTATGTCAGGCTGTAGCTTAGATGGTCTTTGGGTTAGCTCTCCCATTTTTTAAAAAGCCCCCAGATTTTGGTAAGGAGGACCTGCAGAGTCAGCAGGTCAGCACGTGTAATAGTAAACCACTGAGTTTTTAGGACGATCAACAATTGTTTACATGGTTATCATTAGACAAGCTTTTAATTCTAGATTTACAAAATTTAATTCAGCTTTAACTGTCTATAGTTGTGAGATTAGGACACATGTCCCCAGAATATTAGTCTGGGTTTCTGGATTCCTAGAAAATACCACTATGACATCACCTCCCTGTGCAATACATGTTCAATGCTGGAATGAAAGATAAAACAAAACATCTGTGCTTGTAACATAAGATTAAAATGTTTCTAATCCTCTAAAGTAACTTTGCTTTTACTTCTTAAAAGCTGCTACACCAAAACTATTATTGTTAAATGCAACGCGGTTACTACTGCTTACCTGAATCCGGTTTCGTAGACTGTGGAGCAGGATCAGTTACTTTTCTTTGAAGCTTCTTTATGGATCTGGCTTCGGACTGTGGGGTGGCCTGCGAAGAGAAATATTAATTCAGCCCTAGAGAGCTAGCAACGCCAATAAAGTCCAATAGTAAGTACTCAATTAAAGGGATTGTGATATGAATGTTAAGACTTAACCAGGAAGGGTGCATAATAAACATGCTCCACTGTTCCACAAGCCTTCCAAATGTACAAAATCGCAAATAGACCATCATAATTATTGATTTAGCTGACTTATAGGATAAAGGTAATTTGCACCATGTTTCATCAATAATTGAAAGCAATTCAATTTATTGTAATACACAGCTTTAACGAGCAACAGAGTAAAGAAAGGATTTTTATTCTTAAATGATTTTCATACAGAAAGAAAGAGAGGAAGATGGGTGATTTTGGTTGGAAGCTCTGATTTTCACTGATGCCCTGACACTTACAGCTTTTAACACTCTGCAACTCAGAACTGTTAGAAGGGAGAACTTGCTTAACTTGAAAGACTCCCATTGTCACTCAATCCTGAATTCTCCCTCTTCAACTGGCAACTCTATTACACAGCTCAAATTGTACAAAGATAGTAGCAAATGCTGATGCTGGAGAATCTGAGATAACAAGGTGTAGAGCTGGATGAACACAGCAGGCCAAGCAGCATCAGAGGAGCAGGAAAGCTGACGTTTCAAGTCTGGACACTTCTTCAGGAAAAAAAAAGGAAACATCAGCTTTCCTGCTCCTCTGATGTTGCCTGGCCTGCCGTGTTCATCCAGCTCTACACCTTGTTATCTCAAAATGTACAGCACTAAATTTTCGAGTTGCAAAACTCTTCTGATATGTCAGTTATATAGAAGTGCAATTTCCACTTCAGTTTATAGTCCCAATAAAGAAAAATGTGTGGTATCTTACAGCAGCAACAATTCAATATTAGTTTACTTTGAACAAAAACAAAGTTGCTGGAAAAGCTCAGCACTTTTCTTTGACTTGAGGCAGAAAGTGCCCATATATCCCAAAGGCAAAGCTAATATAACCAAATCAAAAGTCACATGACACAAGGTTATAATCTAACAGGATTATGTGAAACACAAACTTTTAGAGTGCAGCCCCTTCGTCAGGTGAGGTGAGAGAGAAGCAAGAAGAACACAGAATTTATGGGCAGAGATCCAAAGATCTTAAAAATGGTGTGAGTGGAGTGTCGAATAATAAGTTTACAGGTGATCAAAAGCGTTAGACAGTGTGAGCAAAATGTCAACAGCTGAATAACAAGCAAAGGGATGACCCTATAATCCACTTAGTTGAAGCAGAGAGATAATTACAAAAAAATTAAAAAGTAAGGTGGTGCTGGAGTCAAACCAAATGACTGGAATAGCATGACAGATATAAGAGTCGCATGCCGAGGGTCTAAACTAAAGTAGTAAGTAATCCAAAACTGTACAAACCAATTAAGGTAGAGCGGTCATAACAATTTATCAAAGTGAAACTGTCAAGACAGGACATTAAGGAAGATTTTACAGATACAGAACAGTGTGGTGGGGTCACATGTAGCGTGACATAAACCCAAGATCATGGCTGAGGCCGTCCTCGTGGGTACCAAACTTGGCCATCAGTTTTTGCTTGGCGATTCTGTGTTGTTGTGCATCTTGAAGGCTGCCATGGAAGATGCTTACCCAAAGATCAGAAGGTGAATGTCCTTGACTGCTGAAGTGTTCCCTGACTGGGAGGGAACATCCCTGTGTAGCGATTGTTGCATGGTGTCCATTCATCCATTGCCATAGTATCTGAATGGTCTCGCCAATTTACCATACCTCGGAGCATCCTTGCTTGCAGTGTATGATAGACAACATTGGCCGAATCACATGATGGTAGGATCCATGTCGATGATCTGACATGTCTTGTGGAGGTTGCCATGACAGGGTTGTGTGGTGTTGTGGTCGATGTTGTCCTGAAGGCTGGGTAGTTTGCTGTAAACAATGGCCTGTTTAAGGTTTGGCGGTTGTTAGAAGGCGAGAAGTAGAGACGTGGGGAGGATCTTGGCGAGATGCTCGTCGTCATCGATGACATGTTGATGGCTGCAAAGAACATGGCATAGTCTCTCCGCTCCAGGGAAGTACTGGTCAAAGAAGGATACTTCACCTGACAAAGGGGCTACACTCCAAAAGCTTGTGATTTCAAATAACCTGTTGATCTACAACCCAGTGTTGTGTGACTTCTGATTTTGTCCACCCAGTCCAACACTGGCACCTCCACATCATGATAATAACCAAAAGGATCTTCCATATGGATAGTAAAATGAAATGGTTTCCATCTCATCAATTTGGACCGAAACAGGTAGACTCGAAGCAAAGTGATTTGGGCCAGATATCATCCCTTTATTTCAAGTTACAACGCAAAGTATAAACAATGCAGAAGAACTTTAGTGTGGGTTATGGCGATAATAGGCTGTGCGGCTTACCTACACAATGGAAAAGGAACCTAGAAATGCATATTCCTAAAAAGGATGAGACATTACTTGGTGAAGTTAAAAAGAAAGGCCAGAGGAATCCCTTAGGATTGGGTCAGAGTAGTGAGAGAAAGGTATAATGCAGAGCAACTCTATAAAGTCCAAATTATCAAAGTAAGAGAAAAGCAGGAATGGGTCTGGACTACAAAAGCAAAGTTAAAGAACTGCTGGGACTAAGGTACACATTTAATCCAAGACGACAGCAGGGAATGGTCTCAGCAAGGCACAAAGCACTACGTTAAGTGTGCATTTGATTATCAACATTGATTCAATCTTTTGATCAGTATTTGGTCAATTCTTTACGGAGCTAATTGGCACAGTGTTAATTGTTATACCACATATCTATTACTCTGTACAGAAGATTTATATATCTTTTAATCTCACATCTTAGTTGCTGGCAATCACAATGTGAATGTAATTATCTGCTTAGATCCTCACAATTATAACATTCAGAAAAAAGATTGAAAGTTGATTTCAGTACGTGGGCATGAAGGTAATGAGAATGCTCGGACAGCTAAACCTGTTTTCACTGCAGGAACGAGAGAGAAAGTGATTCAGGTGCAAATTTGGTCATATTAAATCCCAACGATTCCTCCATCCCATGCTTCTTGATCTACTTCCAAATCAGGAAGGTGTGGGGCTTAGATGGGAACTTGTAGGTTGCATTACCTGGCCATATCCCCAAGGGGTAGAGGTCAAGGGTCTGGAAGGCGCTACTGAAGAAGGCCGAGTGCTGCAGTGAGTCTTATTTATGGTACACATTGCTTCTACTGTGCACTGATAGAGGAGGGAGTGAATGTTTAAGAGATCTGTATTGGGGTCGCAATCATTCACAACATTCAATATCAACCTAGAAAATGGCATAAAAAGTCAAGTATCCAAACTTGCTGACAACACAAAATTGGGCAGCACTGTAGACAGTGTTGACAACAGCATAAAATTACATCATGCACAGATTGGGTGGATGGGCAAAGCTGTGGCAGACAGGTTTAATATAAGCAAGTGTGAGGTTATCTACTTCAGACTGACAAAGGAAAGATCAGGGTACTTATTTTTTTAAGAAGGCACAAAGTTAAATACACTGGATGTCCATCAAGATTTGGATGTTCAGGTGCACAGCTCTTTAAAATGTCATTAACAGGTGCAGATAATAGTCAAGAAGGTTAATGGAATGCTGGCTTTCATATTTAAAGGGCTGGAGTATACGGGTGTAGATGTTATGCTGCAGTTAAATTCTGCTAAGCGTACTGTGAGCAGATCTGGGAGCCACACCTTAGAAAAGATGCCTTGGCCCTGAAAGGAATAGAACACAGGTTTACAAAGATGATACATGCACTTTGGGGGTCCAGTTACGAGGAGAGATTAGACCAGTTAGGCATTTATTTTCTACAATTTAGAACGTTAAGGGGTGATGCAAATGAGGTCTTCAGGATATTAATAGGGAAAGGCAGAGTAGATAAACATAAACTATTTCCACTGGTTGAAGATCTAGAACCAGGAGGCACAGTCTAAGGATTAGGCCCAGGCCATTCTGGTCAGCTGTTAGAAAACACGCAGAGTAGTGGAGGTTTGGAACGGTCTTGCTCAAATGGTAATTGATGCTAATTCAAGTGTTAGATTTAAATCTGAGACAGACATATTTTTTATTAAGCAAGGGCATCATGGGATACGAGTCCAAGGCAAACCTTTGGAATTAAGCCACAGGTCAGCCATGATCTTATTGAATGGTGGAGCAGGCTTGAGGGGGTTGAATGACCTACTCCCATTCCTACATCCTATGTTCCTAGGTGGATCATCTTGAGCTTCCAGTGTTGTTGCTGCTGCAGTAATCCAGACAAGTGGACAGTAAACCATCACAGCTGTCCTGTGCCTTTTAGATAGTGGGCAGTCTTTGGAGAGTTGGGAAGTGGGATACTCATGTAGAATTCAGAACTTCTGGCTTGCTCTTGCGAACATCGTCTTTACAATCTCGTCAACGTTTAGTCATTAAAGCCGGATCACATAGGTTGCAATGGGACATTGACAGGATGCAGAGCTGGGCAAAGAAGTGGCGGCTGGAATTCAACCTGGAAAAGTGTGAAATGATTCATTTTGGAAGGTCGAATTTGAATGCAGAATATAGGGTTAATGGCAGGATTCTTGGCAGTGTGGAGGTAGAGAGGGATCTTGGGGTCCACGTCCATAGTTGATAGGGTTGTTAAGAAAGCATATGGTGTGTTGGTTTTCATTGGCAGGGGGACTGAGATTAAGAGCCACAAGGTTATGCTGCAGCTCTATAAAACCCTGATTAGACCACACTTGGAATATTGTGTTCAGTTCTGGTCGCCTCATTATAGGAAGGAGGTGGAAGCTTTAGAGATGGTGCAGAGGAGATTTACCAGGATGCTGCCTGGAATGGCGGGCAGGTCTTATGAGGAAAGGCTGAGGGAGCTAGGGCTTTTTTCACTGGAGCAAAGAAGGATGAGAGATGACTTGATAGAAGTGTACAAGATGATGAGTGGATAGCCAGAGACCATCTTCCAGGGCAGAAATGACTATCACAAGGGGCAT